TTTTTTTTCGACCAAAATGAAAATACCTTTACAGTCAATGAATGTCAAATGAAGGTATTGTTTTTCTTTTGATGATTTTGAATGTTAATGCATATGTAAATGTTTTTCTTGAACGTTCCTTACGCGCAAATGAAGGTGATATTGGTGTTAATGAGAGTTTAATGATCATAATGAAAGAAACTTGGACACAAATGAATGTTTATTTTCTGTAAATGAACAGCAAAAGGTGTAAAGGACAGAGCGTTATCACTCATGTGGCAGGCAGCCGTGCAAATTTATTGGAACAAAGGAAGTGTTTTCATAAGAAAAGAGTTTATCTCCCACAGGCTTAATTTGGAACACAAACATGGCCGCCGTTTCACTGCTTTGGGACACTGACTAATATGGCTGCCTTGACGTCATGTGAAAACACTCAACTAGTCACGTGACCAACTAGTGCAATGCGGCCGTTGCAGATAACAGGTGCCGCTATGTACGCGTTTTTAACGTCGTTAATGTATCTTTTTATCTACTGGATGTACAAGAATAATTAACTTCAAAGGCTTCTGTTATCTTTTAAAGTCTTGTTTCCACTCCATTCAGTACGGAAAATAGAAACAAGTCTTCGACACGGTCTGTTTGAGATGCAATTGAAGTAATATGCACTCAACACGTACCTCAAACTCTCTGATGCGTTACGTGTACACAATGCATGTAGTCGACAAAATGATCGGTCACATATTGAGGTGAAAATTCACCGACAAGGTAACACAGGTAGCTAATCTGTCTCACAAGACAACATCAGTTTACTTACCTAACAGAGCCTGCTCGATTGAACATACAACCAGCGACATATGCCCATGAAAGAAAGAAATATTGTAACAATTTTAAAACCGAAATATAAGCAAACTGGTGCTGAGGAATATTATTTAGAAGAAAATCAAAGAGCAAGGAGTGAGACTGAAAATAATTTTCCGAGAAACTTGACAATACTGAGACAGGGAGAAAGGCAAACTATACAGAAGAAGAATATCGAGGACTCTTACCGTTGGCAGCACAAGCCACCAGACCATAAGGCGATCATTAACCCAACGAAACAAACTTGGCCGTAGCCACAGCAGAATTAATGTGGGGCCCATTACAACCAAAGGGCCAAGAAAGGCTGCAGAGTAGGTCGCTGCGATGAAAAAAACTCCCTTTAACAATCGCCTGTTTAACATGGTCGCTATTTCCAAGCGCTGAATCAGTTGATGTCTGCGACGCAACCAACTAATTTGATCGTACTGTTTACAGTCCTCGTTATATTCCCGTCAGATCTAACACTGTGGCGTTACGTGAAAAATTTGAATATTGGAGATTAAACTGAATCAAATTACTGAGTCATGAAAATTATGCACAGTGAGTCAGTCCTTCTCTTCGATCCGTGAAGACAGCTTCTCTTTGTCTTTCATTGGCTTTATTGACAATGCCCCCATTTTAAAAGGCTTTGGTTTAATTTAAATAGCCCAAAGCAGGATGTGGATTGGCAAATATGCAAAACTGAAAGCACAGTTTTAGTTTTTACAGTGATTAATCCACGTGTGTTACTTTTTAAAATAACATTTCACGCGCTCGATCGGCACTGCATAAACTGTATCCTCGCTCTGTATAAACTGTGTTTTCCTCATCAAAAAATAAACTGATATATAAAATAAGTAAATTTCTCATACTTAATCAGATCGTGAAAACCGTAAATACTGTAATTCATGTCGTTTTGTAGAAATGATGGTTTGATTAAAAAAAAATCAGCCTGACTACATTCATGCCATCCGTTATTTTCTTCGTGACGTAACGTTGGTGTCAACCGAATTTTATATCGTGATACGTGACCAAAGTTTGTGCTGCGTCAAATTTCCACTCACCACCAGTATCAAATGTGAAGGTCGGAAAATTGAGCTTGGTCGCTTTGATCGAGATGGTGAATAGCGGCAAGGCCTGAAAGGCCGCATTTTTGAAGTTCTGTTTCTATTTTTACGATAATAAAACTGAAACTTGCCCATGAAGACGTACAAATGAAAGCTAACCCTATCCCTAATCAAACCAACCGCAGTGTTAACCGAAGTACAAATGTTATCTGGCTAACCGGAGGGCTATGCAATTGAGGATAACTCCGGGGTCGATGATTCTAACCCCCTTAAAACAGCTGTAGAAAAGGCGCGTAAAGCAACAACAAAAACAACAACAACTTTTATTTCACACTTGAGTTAGAAAGCAGTACTGTTCACGCTGATATTTGCAAACTACCATTCGTGTTACGCGAACGGTCTTAGATAAAGTTCTATAAAATAAAAAGACTAAAAAGAATAAATTAAAAATGAACAATATAAATTAAAATAATCTTTCAAACATTCACTTACATTCTTCACCATCTACGGGTATATTACGACCTCAAAACGTAACCAGCTTCCAATTGGCTTGATAGCTCAATTGGTAGAGCACTGCTCCGGTACGGTATCGCAGAGGTCATGGGTTCGAATCCCGTTCAAGCCTGAATTTTTTTCAGGCTTAATTTCACAACTGCTTGATTAAGTTGGGTGTATAACTGCAATGACCAATCATATCTTCATATCTTTCTCCGCAGATCAAACACATGACATAATCATTTGTAATAAATTATTTACTTGGCTATTCCTTGCCTAACTACAGTACATGCACTTTCTTATAAAGAATGCTTATATCTTCATTTTTTTCTGGATATTCGTATTTTCTGCCGACCCAAGACTGAAAATATTCTCTTGTTCTTTTTTTGTTATATCATTGTGCATGTATTTCAGTAGAAAAAAAAAACCAATATAAACGCATGTGACCAGGAAGTGAGGCGTCGTCCACACTACGCATGCTGGAGAATTTGAAAACAGAGGTTTCACTCTGAAAACGCATCAAATGCTTTCCGTCCACACTACCCCGGAGATATTAAAAAGGCGACAATAAACGTTTTTTGGGGGGGTTTGTGTTTGAGGAAAACTCGGTCAGGGAAATCACATGGTTATCGTGACGTCATCGATTTCGAAAAGCTCCGTTTTCAAATTGTTTTCCGTCCACTCTAAAACGCAAAGCCGGCGTTTTCAAATTCCCCCTGTTTGAAGAGCGTTTTCGAAAAGCTCAGTTTTAGTGACGGATTAGTGGGGACGGTAGGCCTGACCGTAGAAATAAAACTACGTTTTCAAATTTCCCT